TCTGCAGTTAATGAGGTTACTTAGGGCTTCTCGACGTTTTTCAGCGGCTTAGCCACCGAACATGTCCTCAAGATTATCCATAATCTGACGAGCAGTTATGTAATCTTCATGTTGTGCTTGTAGCACAGTGGACGTGCTCGCCATCATATAACAACGAGCCATATCGTCAGAGTCCTTCCAGCGTTGATACGCTACGAAAACCTCAATAGGAGTATTAACAGGTGGCTCCGGAGGTCAATGTGTATTCAGTACGAAATTCAGTTTCTCAAAGGTTAGGACGATCTTTAGGTTCCTTTTCCAATCGGTAAAATTCTCGCCACTTAAGTTGTGTTTATTAAGTATCGATGATAATGCGCTAGAAGACATTTTGATCTACAACAAACATTCATATATCTAGTATAAGCACTTGCATAAACATTTAGTAATCAAACATATATACATATTATAATGCAACAAATATGTTTGTGTATCAAAACCTTGAAAAAATCACAACCTCACAACGATAATTCCTAACTCAAAATTTTGTAAGTCTCCTAAGGGAGATTATGCAAAATTTAATTGGGAACACGGATCCCCTCCGATCAATATATACCATCCGGATCAATCTCTGTCCAGCATATATTGATAATCATTTTCTTGGCCATTAATTTAATTAGCAGAGCTCCTAGGGGAGATTAATAATTAAATTAATCTTGAGTGTATAACCATCGTTTCAACTATTTGATACATAATTTATAATTGTCACCTAGGGGTGTACAACTATAAAATATGCTCAAATAAATTATCCTCTCATAGATCCACACCGGTACATGATGAATTCCTTCCTAGGGGTCGGTATCACCATGTGTTACATGCGGACCAACGATTGAGGCCATGGGTCTTTTCTTCAAAAACCCTTACACACTCAATCTTTTGGAAAATAAGGTTTATGTTAAGAAATATGCATGAACAATTTTAATAAGCGGCACTCCCTATTCTACATGACATGTTATCACATATACAGCAAATCATATTATATGCAATCATACAAAGCAATTAAGTTAGGCAACAAGCATAATAATAATAACTGTAATATTATGGTTCCAACCTAGAGAAAAGAAAAAATAAAGATTACTAAGAATAATCGAAACATATATCGATCCTTCATCTTGAATCTTCTCGATTGTCCTTGAATTCTTCATCACGATCAAATTCTGGTTATCATAAAATTATTTTTCATGTTTTCTTGAAAAAATATCAAAAAACTGTAAAATCGTATACTGTCACGTTAGGTCCGGTCGACCGGTGACAGAGCAGTTATACTCAACCGGTCGACCGCCTTACACTAACCGATCGACCGGAGCGGTCGACCGGTGCCTGTGCGACAGTAACCCAGATTTTCAGAAATCAAAGTAATTTTTCAATTTATTCAAAAACCACAAAATAATTTTATAAACCAAGAAAAATTAGATACCTTCATATCCTTCATCTTCAAGATCCATCTTCAAGATCCTTGATAAATCTCCTCCAAGAATTTTTACATAAAAATTCCTATACCGTTTTCCGGTTTACAAAATTTCTACTAAAGAAAATAAAATAAACTCTAATGGCGATGATAGGCCGCATATCTAATTACATTGTAATGAACAAATTCCTATACGACCATTATAAACTCTAAGGAACCGTAACAGGTAAAAACTAAATAATAAATAATCATTGATAATTTATAAATAATAATCAATAATAATTATTTAATCATCCATTCACCATATATTCATGATAACAACATAATATAGAAACCCTAGAGTGCCATCTCTCTAAAATATATATTCAAGCATAAAAGAGATATTTTTAGATCACAAATCTATGTACATAGCATAATCATGAACAAATAACCATGGCTCTGATACCAATTGTTGGAAAAATTGTGGCATCGAGTGCGCAGCAGAATTTAAAAAATTTAATCAACGTCAAAGTCAACCAAGAACATGTTCATGATGCTATATAACATAAATACTAAAGATCTAAATCATACCTTTTGAGATTTAGGAAACTGCACGTCTGACAGATCAAAGCGTTCCAAACAGCAACCGGAAGAGCCTCAACCAACTGGTCTTCTTTGCTATTCTCGTTTCCACAATTGGAGTGCAGGTGGGCACACATCGTTCAATCTCCTTTTGGTATTCTTGATCTCCTTCCAATCACAAAAGAGCCAAAGAAAAAATTGTTCTTGAGAATTAAACAATTTTTCCTCTCAAGAATCTTTTATCAATAGCCTTTAAAAAGTCTCTCAAGTGATCTTATGAGTAATGTGACTTAATAGGCTATTATAGTGTTTAGGAAGTCATACTTCCATAATAATTAGGTTTCCCAAAGTCTTAATCGCATCCAGAGTCGATTTTGCCACGTCAGCATGCATTTTACGTTACAACCGGTCGACCGGTGACAGAGACGTTATAACTCACCGGTCGACCTGTCTTCACTAACCAATCGACCGGACGGGTTGAACTGTCTGCACTGACGAAAGTTGTTTTCCTAGTTTTTCAACACGGGAAACTTGCATAGAGCCTCAGTTTTGATTCAAGCAACCCAATAGAGAAATTGCCTGATCAAAACAATCATATAAAAGTCTTCTCATATTAAACAACTCTTAAAATAATAATTCAACCCATTTATTTAGAATTAATTTATCAATTAATTCACTCGATAAATCACCCATGAATTAACTTTGAACCTCTTTTACGGAAATAACACAAGTTACTAATGTGTAGGAAATACGCCGTATCATTACACAAAATTATGTGAGCTAGCAAAGGGACCCGATGGACATATATAAATCAAGCTCCTATAATCACAATGCTACTTGTAAACCAATAAGTCCGTCTCATGATTATAAAACTCTAGCGCTATTCCACTAAAAGCCTAGAGCTGCACTCTCGATTTATATAGCGTATTTACAAAGCTCTGATTAGCTCGAATCCATGACTCAATATATCAGTGTATCATCCCCATAGGATATCCATAATCGACTTGAGGGCAAGTTCCGTTTTACCTTCCCGATTACATTTATCTTATGTTCCATTATCATACAATCGAAAAAATACTATTCGTACCATTACAAACAGTAAACCATTAGATAACACAAAATAGTCTAATGGCCGAGCGCTCGTATTTTTCAATCCACTGATAATGCATAAGAGGATATCATTGACTCTTTATAGGAGCTATGGATTCCACTATCTATGAATAACGAATCTACGCATACACGAGTCATACCCTCAATGTACCTACAAGCGTACCTTTACATAATGTCAGGATGTCTCCTTTTAGTACATCAAAGGATACAAGTCAAGCATACGGGTTCGTCATCCATCTCAGGATTAAGATGACAACATATAATTTGTAAAAAAGTGAATTGTTTTATTCAAACAGAATTATTAATTAAAACAATTCAACTTTGGTCCGATCCAATATAGATTTCACCATTAGAAACTATATCAATGTCTCCACCCATGGAGTCCCACCTCCGACGACCAAGACAAACCGTCTCCGTTAGGAAGTAGACAACATAACAATCTTAACATGAATAAAGCGCCCAACTTTATTCCCTCGATTGTGGATCATAAGATTTAGACTATCATCTTTAGATTCTTGTCTTCCGCATATTATTCACATTATATGCATGACCTAAAGATTTAGAATTACAGTCTCAGACTTTCAGTTTGCTTATCATACATTCAACTATTACGAACATAAAGAGGACAATACATAGATATATGAAATAAACAAATCTTTATTAATAGTCAAAATGTCTCAAAAAATGTTGTTACATTTATTCCTAAGGGCATAAACGCTAACAGGAAACTCACGACATTGTCACGGCTGGGGCTGGCCGTCATGCAACATCAGCAAGAGGAGAGGGCTTGTTGCGTCAGGGGAAGGTGGGAAAAAGATTAAAAAAAAAAAAAAAAAAAAAAATTTAGCTGTGTTTAGAGTTGTTTTTGTTTTTGTGTTTCACATTTTTTGAGGAAGAAAAAATGAAAACGGAAGAGAAATGATGTTTGGTACAATTAAAGACAAAAAATGAAAATGAAAACAAGTTTTTAGTTTAGTATAAAATAGGAGAGAAATGAAAAACGACTTTTAGTCGTCTTTCATTTTTTGTTTCCGTTTTCTCCTCTTTCGAGCAGAGAGAGAGAGACATTAATATATTTTTTTTTACTAAAAACAATCCTTTGATAAAACTACCACAAACGCATTTTCAAAAATAATTTTTACCTGAGATTGAAAACGTTTTCATTTTCATTTTGATACAAAAAATAAAATCATTTTAGAACGAGTTTCAAACGCACCCCTTGTTTCTACTACTATTAAATGAAAATTATAAGACTTATTTCACAATGTTTGCATTGCAAGCATCTCGATTGTCATAATGTATTACCATTGTCTTTGTTGCGTGATGGTCCATCTATGCGTTGTAATTTATCTTCTTTTTTGCCGCAGCTAATTAAACATGTTTTTCTCTTTGCAACTTATTCACTCCATTCTCTCTCTCTCTGAGATCTGTCCTTCATTCATATACTTCAAATACTTGTTTTAGCTCTCTTCTGCAGTCTTTTCTCGTTTGTTTCCAGAGGTAAGTTGAATACCATTCTCTCTCTCTCTCTCTCAACAAGACTAACAAGTTCAAAAGATATCTTGTTTCACACGAAAGGTCTGAAATAATGACAAAATGTCACCATATTCTTGCACAGAAGCTGAAGGCTGAAGGAAATCCAATCGAAGTATATCATTGTAAAACCATTGCATGAAAATCAATATACAACATTGTAAAACCAGTATACAAAGTTTTACTAAAAAAAAAAGTCATTGCCTCAAATTAAACCAGATGACAGTATGGACTCCATACGAGATCAGAATTAAGGACCTCAAATTAAACATGTCTTGCACTTCCAGCAAAAGATATATATATATATATATATATATATATATATATATATATTTTAATTGAGAATGTTGCAACCGTGATAAATATGAGGATATTCTCTGGAAGGCCTTTTTTCTGCGTTTCGTTACCATTTGTTCTTTTGGTAACAAAGTTGTAGAGGCCCTGCTAGGCAATAAAATAAACAAAACTTACTGCCCCTGACAACAGCTCACCTTAACAAGTGCTCTCACCTTGTGCAAAGCACAAATAATACGATATAACTTCCATGCAGTATAAACTAGCGAGGTTTCCTCCAAATCTGCTCCTCATACTCATTACTTGCTGCTTCTTTAGGTCGTTTGCAGTCGCACTTAAGACACACCATGTTTCTCCGATAATTCAAGAAATCACATCTGCAACGTAGAATTCAGAAGTCAATAAAATTTCTGCAGTTAAGCTTGACGTAACATCACAAACATAGAAGTAGAGTGATGCTTCGTAGTATATGCCAAGAATAGAGAGGAAGAGAGATGGTGGGAGAGAGAAACTCACGAAGGACATTCCCACTCTCCGGGGTTTAATTGTCTCTTGGGCCGTGACTCCTGACAACGCAAACACTTCTTATTGCTAGCAAAATTCATGAACTGACACCTGCAGACAGAATCAAATAGAAAACCTTTAACAAACAGAAAAGGAAGACGACAATAGAAATAGTACACATCAAACTTTCTAATCCCTGATCTGAACTACAGATGGTATATTGATATGGTACTAAGTACCTGAACTCCTTTTGCCAAAAAATCCACTATCGACAGATATACGATGTTCTTTCCCACGCCAATGGAAAAATATGCCAGTTAACCGTTTTCTTTTTGTGTTCATTGATATAAAAGTGTGAAAATAAATTGAGTTGCTAAAGGATAATTATAGAAGAAAAGACAAAACGGACGAGCGGAAATCATCGGTTGCTGTCTCCCAGGAGAACAATTAGGCTTCGTTTGGTATGAGGATTCAAACCAGGGTGATTATAGTTTTGATTTTAGAATCAGAACCATGATTCATGATTTTGGGTCCAAATCATGGTTCTGAAACCAGAACCGGAATCAGGAGTTTGAACCACCCAAAATCAAGGGAGGTGGTGGTTTTAGATTCATAGGTGATTCTAGGTTAAAACATCACATCAGACTCAAACCTTGAATCAGAACCATCCAAACCAAACATTAATTCTGAGTGAGTCAAATCAGCATGGCCTGCACGGGAAGAGATTCACATGGAGACTGTTGCTTTCTAGGAACAGAATTCATTTTACATTAGCTAGCAAGGGTGGGTGTTCCTATGGTAATCCTGCCGACAAAAGGATCCCCTAGGATGATCATCTCATGGCTATGGAGAACGAATCAAATCGGATGATTCTATTTCCAATTCCACAGATATAGGATTCCTCAAAAAGTTAAGGGTTAGTAAACCTTTTTAGAAGTCTAATGGTTTGGGATTATACATACACGATGAAGGTAATAAAAGAGTATAAAAGCTAGCTAGAATTTTTTTATTGTCATGTGTGTGTATATATATATTATATATATATATATATATTATTTTTTTTCCCATGACACTTACAAAAGGAATAATTATGGAACTTTACTTAAATGAGTGTTTGCCAGCTGAATTTGGCCATTTGAGATAATGGGGCGAGGACATGAGGTCCTTCCCACAACATGCTTCAGGTGGTTTGACTATGTATTTTTTCCGTCTTATTTTAATAAATTAATAGACTATTGTAACCTTTCTTTCATATATACATGAATAAACGCACCCGATTTCATGTTAACAGGATTAAAACACTAACACACACACACACACACACAAAAACAAAAACCATCATTTACATTCAAAACTCATTATGGGCTATAGTACATGACTTTAGAAGATAATATGCCAGTTAGAATAATAAGAGTTTTTCATTTTTTTTTGTAAGAAAACGACTTTTATTGATCTAAAGCAATTGATTACAAAAGGGGAGGACAAGGTATCCTCACTAATAAGAGTTTATCAACTACAAGACCAAAAGTTGATGGGCAGGGCAAAATAGAAACAGACTTACTGTGGACAGTTCCAATCTCCTTTCTTCATTTCTACCTCATCTACACCAACCTTGTTTGGTCCCTTAGCTTTGCACTTCAAGCAGCGTATATTTCTAGAAAAATTCATGAAATTGCATCTGCACCACATCCAAAGAGCATCAGAAATAAGCCGGATAAAATAAGTGAAAAGAGGAAAGTAAGCATGTTTGACAGTAATTCATTAAAACTTTAAAAAACTTGCATATACTTGAAATGTCTAGCATTCTGTAAATACACAAGCAAGTTGGCACTTGGCAGCATGGAAATTCAAGGGCAGAAGGCGGTCTAGCGTAGATCCATTCGAAGTGACAGTAGTATATCAATTATAAATAACAAAAGCTGGCCTCACCTCTTAAGTTTTTAGCATCACAAAAATATGCCTATACTTCAAGCTTTTAGCATCAAGCTAATTTCCCATGAGAAGAACAAGGTAAAAACCATGTAGCCTAGTATTGCATGCTAACACTAATTTCCCTAAAAATAAAAAAAAAATAAAATCATAACTTGATAATGTGAAAACTTGAGTTTTCGGAACCTAGTCGTGAGCAAGAATAAATACTACTTAAAAAAAAAAAAAAAAAAAAAAAAAAAAGAAAGAAATCCCCAAAGGAGAAAAAATCCTACTTGAAACATGGTATTATGCTGCAACATGGTGTAATTATATTCCATCAGTTCATGCCCTTCAAAATTAGATTATATTCTATGATTATATCTGATAAAACACTTTGGGTAAAGACAAGTTCTTGGAAGTACGCCATGAATTATGATGTAAAGAGTCCATTCAAGGTTGAATAAATCTAAGCACACATTACTCACTCAGGACAGGCCCAATCTCCTTGCTTCATTACAACTTCAGGTGTGCCAGCACTTCTAGGGCCATCTTCCTTGCACTTTAGACATCGCAAGTTTTTTGAGAAGTTCATAAAATTGCAGCTGCCGCAAAATTGAAAAAGACATTAGTACACGAACTTGTGAGTGAGAAATTTAAAAATTAAAAATTACTGAGAAAAATCCAACTTCAGAATCCACTTCAATCTCATGAAATTGCTACAGGAAGTTGACTTCAGATTGAACATTTTATTATTATTATTATTTAATAAGGAACGATATTTTAGTTACTAATGAAAATAAAAACACCAGAGGACAAGAGGTCCTCAATCCAGACAATACAGTCAATGTACTTAACAACAAAAACTACAACAGAAACGCCATGACCATAGCAAACTTAAATCCCATCCCTTTAGGAGATCCGCGAATGAAAAAGCCTCAAATTCTTTATATTGCAAAGTCCACATAGCCACCCAGTAAATTATGCGACCCCAGACATCACTAACATCTCCCTCAACTCCATCAAAGATACGATTATTCCTTTCCAACCACAACGCCCAATAAGAACCTAAGATTACTATGTCCCATAGCAGATTAGTTCTCTTATTCCATCCACCCGAAACATCAACACTCATTAGATCAGGAACACTTCTTGGAAAAGCCCACTGTATACGGAACTCCCCTATAATTTTACACCATATCTTCGTAGAAAAAGAGCGGTAGAGGAACAAGTGATCCGATGTCTCATTATTGTTCCTGCATAGCACACACCACCCCAGGGAGATGGAAAGCAAAGGCTTCCTCTTTTGAAACAAATCTTGTGTATTCAATTTACAAAGTGAAAACAACCAACCATATTGACCTGCCTATTGGGTAAGACTACTGTGTACTATCCCAAAAAGGAGCATAATAAGAGTAGGAAAAGAGTTCAGAACTTAGGAGTTTAATAAATATTCCGACTTGAAAGTTCAATGCTTTTTGAGGTTAAAAAAAAAGATAGATAGAATTATTTTAGGAAAGTGAGAAATATAGAAATTTCCTGATTATGTAGCTCAAAATAAATATCCCTAAACACATAGCCATGTTTTTAAGCAGCAAATATAGAGAGGAAAAAAAATATTTTCAAACTTTAATCATTGAACAAGCAGAAAAGAAGTCTTTGTTAAGAAATCTCAAATGTTTGACTCACTTAGGACATATCCAATCTCCTCTCTTCATTTCGACTTCCTGCGACATCCTGTCATTTGTCACAATCAATGGTCTTTCCTTCTTTTTTGAAACCCTGGCAGCAGGCTTTGGAAGTGCCGGATCAGGAGAGGTTTCACTGAGCTGAAGCAACTCAGCCAGTAGTTTTCTTGCTGATGATTCAACGAGCTCTCCACTGACAGGCTTTTCACCCCCTGAAATAACAAGTGGATCCAGCGCGTGGAACAGCAATACGCGCACAATATCTACAGTTCGGGCTTCTGCTTCAGATTCCTTTAAAATCACATAAGCTCTATCACAGGAACCCCGCAGATTGCAACCACTACAAACCTGAAGGCAAGTGAAGAATGAGTAACTCACAAACAATGCCACAGTTGTCCTGAGTTTCATTTCTTTAAGCCAGGAAACTACTCAAATATGCAGAGGAAAAGAAGAACATTATGAAACATGAAACCATAATCACATTCGAATCCACAATTTTTACCCGTTTAGATAGATAGACTAAGATACTCAATAAACGTTTGCTAACAATTTTTTGTATCACATAACTCCAGCACGAGTCTAAACATGAACAAATTCAAGTGTGTAAAAGCTATAAACAAGCGAAATTACATACATTTCCTTCATCCAGCTTGACATAGGATCTCAATCTTTTGGCAGAATTAACAGCTTTTCTTAATAAGTTAGGACATCCACCGCCCACAATCACCTCAATATCTTTCGTTGACAAAGATCTGCACATGTAACACCAGCAAAAACAGAAAAAAAAGGCAGTTAAATAAACAATTATTATCAGGACATAAATATTAAAAGGCACCCGTCTGCTGGAAAATTTTAGCACAGCGCCCCATAGTTTACGAAAATATCATCTAGGCACCTCAGGCCCTAGTCCATTGAACCCTTCTAATTAATCAACCCCACAAAAAAAACAAAACAAAACAAAACAAAATACTGAAAACAAATTGAAACCTTTAAAATAAATTGAATTCTAAAAGAAAAAACTATCTTCTAAAAGGACTGGAGACATCCTTTGATATTAAGAGGACGTTTGGTTGATGGATTCAGAATCATGATTCAAAATTATTTTTGATTTACGTGTATTTTTTATGAGAGAAACTACTGTAGCGAAGCACGACGAATCCTTAAACCAAACGCACTCTAACACTTTCGCGCAACAAATATGAAAAACTTATGCAAAGAACTAAAACCCAAACACCAATGTAGTTTTTTTTTTTTTTTCCCCTCAGGCGCAATTTCACACATTTATCTCCTTAAAGTGACTCCCTTTGACAAAAACGTTAATAGCTTCAGGTTCTGAAAAATGGAAAAGCAGTCACACAAAAGTAATGCTTGATCTTTCCTTCGCTTGCTTTTACTGTCATAAAAGAATTAAAATTAAAACAAACAAAAAAAAAAGTTTGACTGCTTTTCCTAAAATTTCTCGGAAACCAAACAGATAGAGAGGGGGCATAAAAAAAAAAAAGAAGCAATTATAGATTCCATTCTAACATTGACCAAATTCTTTTTCATGTTCTTAATGAAACCAAAGATCGAGGACATTCGGCTATATTTTCTCGTCAACCAAACAAAACAGAAACAGAAAACCAGGCAAGAAATTAAACAATTACTTGAAAACATCATAGCGGTCACGAGCAAAGCTGAAACAGGCCTCCTTCAAAAGATTCATGTCCTTGTAAACGCTCTCACTCTCGTCAGCCGGAAGGATTTGGGCGAAGTAACCCTTGGCGCTCAATCGGTCAACGAAGGCCACCCATTCGGGCCACGGGTGGTGGTGGTGCGGCGGCGCCTCCGAGGTTACGGCGGCGACTGCATCGGCCGCAGCGGAGGAACAGGACCTGGGGAATAACCGGAGGGATTTCGAGAAAGCAAAGGGGTTGGGGACTGGGGACGGAGCTCTTGGGGCTCGGAATAGTACTGTGGTGCCGAAGTGGAAGAATTTCGAAGCGGCTGACATATTTGTCGAGTTCTTATCATGCGGAGAAGTGGATGAGAGTAGTGAGAAGATGGTGTTTGTTTTCTTTTGGTTTGGAGAGGGGTTTAGCGAAATGCAGTTTGCAGGGTTTTTGCCTTGTTATTACAAAGCACGTATTTTTTAATAATGTTAAAATAGTAGTTTAATATTTTAGAATTTTTAATAATTTTGAGGCATAAAATATTCTTTATGCTCTTTTTATTATTTTGCTTCAAATTTTAATTTTTAATTTCTAAAAAATGTAATTGTTAATTAAAAAACAAAACAAGAAGAAAATCTTGATCTTCTTCCTCCTATAAACAAATTAAGAACAAAATTCAAATCCTAAGTGATGACAAAAATAAATCCACACTCAAAATCAAAACAAAGAGAATAAAGGACTCTAACAAACTCAGCCCTAAATCTATAAATCAAAACCAAAGCCTAAAAAAGAAAAAAAGAAGAATGTATTATGAAACTGAATGAAGTAAGAAGCAGATTATAAAACTATTTAACGTAAATAGTAGTTTACAACATAAATGTTTCATTTACGATTAGTAAAAAGATTTTATTTTGTTGGTTTTCAAATCGAATTCTACTGCAGAAGCGTGGAAACTCAGATCTGACCCAAACAAAAATTTTCATAAAACTTTTGTTAACGATATAGAATATATTAATTTACAGCGAATAAATTAATCTAATTAATTTAGTACATGAATTATACTTTGCGACTGATTATGTGGATAACTTGAAGTCTTTAACTACGAACAATCCAAGTGCTCCCGTTCCTGAGACTACCATAAGTCTTCCTCGTCGATTCATGTATTCTAAAGAGATTGTGTGTGTGGGTACACCTGAAAACACAATAATATTTTTTCTCATTACTTAATTTTATTAATCTATTATCCTCTAACGTCTTATTCTTCTAACTTTTTTTGTTTATTTTATTGCCTTTCTGTGAATACGACCGCTCTAGACCACTTATAAACAACATTTTTGGACGTTAATCATCTACTTTCTTTTGGAGTTGATTTTGTAATTTTTGGACACTTGGATAATATCCTATGAATTTTCCCGTCTAAGTCAACGAATTTGCCAATTTTTCCTTTTCATGAAGAATATGGATTCAAGTTGGAAATTGATTTATGCCTGAATATTGATGGTTTAGAGCCTTTGAGGTTATTTTAACACTAAGTATGAGGTTCTTCATAGGATACGATGAAAAGTGTTCAAAGAGGATAAATTAACACTTGATATCCAATGATATCTCGTGGAGACTTAATAGACTTCATTGAAATATGACATTTTTGTATTGTTGGTTGTGCATACATGAATACCTTGCAGATAATTGAACTTAGCATGTTCATTTCTTGAGTTTTAATCTTGTTTCAGCATGAGATTGCATTTCTCTTTTGTTTTCGGACTAATTTAATGGATTTTCACTTCTCGATTTAAAACTCAGTTTTACTCAAGGATTCGAAAGGATCTTCATTTATTAATGTACATAAATATATATAGAGATTATATATATGAAAAACATTCCAAAAGGAGTCATGCTTTCATAAGAGAATTTTAGAAAAATGAATTTAGTCTCAAATTAAGATAATTCGAGCACGAGATAAAGGAGTTCTCAAATGCTATCTAATGAACATTTTAGATAATTAGTTTTAGCATGATGGTCACAAAAGTCAAGAGATGTAGATTATATCCTTAGGGGCAGGTCCGAAACCCGTACGAGCCACTCTTCAGTGTGGGTGGTGAGGGTTTATGCTAAACTACGTCTCGGTACTTTGAAAAGAATATTCAAACTATCGGTGCATGATTTATTCTTTACTTGTATGCCTATTGATTTGAAAATTCAAGTGTCTAATAGAATTACGAAATACCTAGTATTTTGTAGACTATTCGGATACCATATTCCGTCACTTTTGAAATGGATTTGAAATTGATATAATATCTTGAAAGAGTTTTCAAATACTTGATTGACCGCTGACTCTGCATTCAACTGTAACAGTTGTGATTTGATTATTTTTCACATATTACCATTTCATGCATTTAAGTTATGCATTTTAATTTTGATTGTGCCTGAGTTTCCATGATTATTTTACTTTCCTTGTTTTGTTGTCTTTATTTCTATCTCCTTTACTGGGCATTTGACTCACCCATGCTTTAAATATTTTCCTCCTTCTAGAGTTAGTAGTTTGATTTGCAGCGTGGTAAGTTAACGACGGTAAACTACACGCTTAGGATTCGAGATGGTTTATTTATTTCTGATTTCACAGTTTTAATTTTAAGTTGTACTATACTTTGCGTTTGTAAACTGTAATAGTTGGCACTGTCCCAGAATTTTATTATTTTGAGAAAAAATTGTAAACTTTTAGATTGTTTTAGTATTATTTGTAAAAGAAAGACTTCAGAGCAATATATTTTAGTATTTACTTTGCAAGTATTTTAATTGTTAATTATTCTTGTTTATTTAATTTATTTTTTAATTTAAACTCCTAATAATCACGACCCCCCTTTTGGATCGTGACAGTATCATTGCTGCATATCACTCCATGAACCTAGATGTTATTGTACAACTATGCAAAATCTCCTTTAAAAATCATCTAACTCATCAAAAGTCTAATTTCCAAAAACACAAACAAGTTGACTTCAATCAAATCAATCCAATGAAACAGATTCTAAAATTGCTTGATGTAAATCACAGTTTCCTCGAATCATCCTATCAACATCTAAGTTGCCAAAACAACCATAGTTGACTCATCAAAATAGGAAACCATGTAACAAAATGGGTTTCATCAGATCCGAATCTTTCCAAATATAATACCTACAAGATGCTGAATCACGTTCTTTGTATCTTGGAGACATGATGAAGTGGGTAGCTGAAAATGTTAATATACGAGATGAAATCCATTCCTTCTTGAGAAAGAAGCAGATAAATAATTCTCTTGAGGGTTGATTCGGTACTTGGATTAGTAGGAGCTCTGATTCATGAATTTGTTTAATGAATCACTATCCATTAGAGAATCAATGGTACTTAAGGATAAAGATGTAATTAGAGAGGTTAACAGATTTCACCTAGCTCTAATTATGAATTATTTATAAAGTACTGATTTATATGTAATGATTATATCAAACGGACACATCATAGTTTGGAAGTAAATTATATATATAATTCTAAGTTTATAGTGGAGTAACTTTGTAATTAATAGAATTAATTAGTTAATTAAAGAATTTTAATTAATTATTAATTTTATTATAGCATAGAATTATAAGTCCCCTTGTAATTTTACAAGACACTAAGAATAAAATGAGAATTTTAGAATTATAAAATTCTAAATAAAACACTCAAAATTGCTTGCTTTATAACACACATGTGGAGGGGTCCACATAGTGTACACGCCCAGCATTATATGAATCCCTATGGGATTCAATGGTTTGCTTTATAAGTTATCCAAATGACTTATGTGATAAGTTATCCAATTAGAATTTAAATTAATTAGAGTTTGATTTTAGTTAGATTTGAATTTGAGTCAATATTAAACTGCAGGATAAAGGATAATTTTTCTCCTTCCCTTATCTGTTATAGTCACCAACCACATGAGAAAAAATCCTTGTGTAGGCCGGCTAAGATAAGCAGAGAGAAAAGGATTTTGTTTCCAAAATAAATTAAAAATGAGAGATAATTATCAAGTTTTATCTTGGAGATAAAGATTAGATTTTCTCTGAGAGTCTAATCGCTACTCTATAAATAGACAATTACAGAAAATTAGAGAACACAATTTTTACTCTCTTTTAGCTATAGTGGCCGGTTTTATAGAGTGAGAAAAGAGAAGAAAAGTCCTTCATTCTAATTCCACGTTGTGCATGTGTTGGTGTTCGTGGAAGACTTGAGTGTTTTGAGTGCTAATCATATTTTCATAGATTTAAGGAATTAACCAGAAAGATTTGGGTATTCTAAATAAGCATGGTGCGTGAATTGTTCCTAGTCAAATAACTTAAGTTATCGACCTAATCGTTTACTAGGTAAAATTTATTTATAAATTAATTAGATTTATTTTATTGTGCATAAATTAATGTATTCTATAGAGTATCTCAAGGATTTTATAAAATTTTTAATATACACGATATGTTAGATACACGCTTCCGCATATAAAATCGTTTCAAAACCAACAAATTTTAATAAATGCGTTGTTTTTGCCGAGTTTATGTATTGTAATAACGGATGTGGTTTCCCCACATTCTAATTTTGTTTATTTGTCTCACCCATCTAAGTTTGGTTGTCGATGATGTGTGTATTTATTTACACTAGATTTGATTCTAAGTTGTGTTGCTTGTGTCTCTAGTATTAGGGGTTTGGTTTCGATTGACTGGTTTTATCTATCGACAGTAGTGGTTCTTGTTAACGGGGTTTGGTCGCGCTCGATTTTATTTGTGCCGAGCGGGTTTTTTTCCATTGGGTTTTGACACTTTTATTTGCCCTTGTATTTCATCCGTCTTCACTGCTGGATCTAGTCAATGTTTGAGGTCGAATTCCCTATTAAGTTATGATCATTTACCACTATTTATGTAAATTGTTAATTTATTAATGAAATTTTCCGTTAAAAAATATATTTTTTGAGAGTACCAAAATGATTTTAAGACTTTCTTTGATAGTTCATGTAAAAATAGGCAACTAGTAGTTTCTTACTTTTTAGCTATTAGATCTATATAAAAATTTCTTTATTTTGTATATTTTTTAATTTAATGTGATTTTGACTATATTTAACTGTTAAAAATTAAAACTATCAATAGACTCGACTACCAAAGTCGAAGAAACTCTCAATGATTTTTTATCACAAATTAAAAAAGAGAAAGGCAACCCACGAACCTAAATCAAAGTTTGTGAAAAGAAAATAGAAAATTATTTACTTATTAATGGCTTATTTAGTTCATTGATTTGAATTTTTAATTTAAGTTGAGATGTCACTTTATTTGAGAGTTTTTTATTATAGTAAAAAAATTAAAGAGACGTTTAGTTCATAGATTAGAATCATTTTCGATTTACGTATATTTTTTATGAGAAAAAATACTGTAGCGAACCATTAACTATGATTCAAATCATTACATGAATCTTTTTACCAAACGTCTCTTAAATGTGATTATTTTTAAAAAATTATATAATAAAATTTAAATTTTAAATTTAAATCGGTAAAATAAAAATGGTGTAAGCACATGCCGATTCTCTAAAGCCTCCGTTCACTTCGCGGATTTGAGTTAAGACGTGACATTTTTTTAGAGTTTTTCACTGTAGCAAAAAAAGTTAAATGTGATATTTTCTAAGAATTTTTTACTGTAAAAATCTAAAACTGAAAACTCAAATCGGTGAAATGAACGAGCTTAAATATGATTATTATACCCTAATTACGGTCATTGTCATTGTCAGCTTAGTAGATTTTTTTTTTCTTCCCTTTACTGACAGAAGCAGAAATAGAGAGAGAGAGAGAGAGAGAGAGGAACGCAGATAAAGCAAAAAGGCCAAGGGGAAAGGGCAGAACGTACAAACTTGGGAAAAACCGAAGCTCAATTCATAGGACTAGTTTTGAATTGAATTATAATTTTCTGATCTCAATTCAAACAAAATAAACAATTTCTTTTCTCAATAAAAGAAAGAAAAAGAAGAGACGAAAGATCAGGAGCAGCAGCAGCAGCTCTGGCTCCTCCAAAAATGGTTTCTTTTCTGATCTCTCTTATCTATTTTCCGTCTCTAATGAATATATAAACAGCAAGTATTTATTTTCTCGGATATCCTTTTTGAATTTTGAAGACACGAAGCTTAAGTTTGAAGTACTATTATTTATTTATTTATTTATTTATTTTCATTTGTGTGTAGTGAATAGTGGTCAGATGATTCTAAATTAGGGAGAATATTATCAGGTGTTGTTATGCATTCTTTGTCGCAGACAGAACCGCAAAGCTAAATTTGGGGGATGCCTTTTATGAGCCTAAATATCTATTTTTGAAGACGATTTAGGCAGTGATTTATGGGCTAAATTTGTATTGCACTAGATTCCTTCTCAATGGTTCAACCTATTTCATTTTTTGTCCCCAATTTGAAGGATATTTGTCAGAACGCTGCTTATTCATTTGTTTAAATTTAGGTAAATGTGGTCTGTTGGGCTTATGTTGTTTTTTGTTTAAATTTAGTGGATGGGGTCTTTTTATTTATTTATTTTTATTATTATTATTTATTTTTTTTGTATTGAGCGCATTCAATCAGTTTGCAGTTTGGGATTGAGAGGAAGCCATTTTTTGGGATATATTTGATTAGGGTTATCTTCTGAGTTTCTTTTTTTTAATCAGCAATTAAAGGTACTTTTTTTCTTCTACTTTTTCCCCTATTGTATAGCCTTTTCTAGTTTTGGGCAATTTCTGCTCATGTTTAGGCATTCATTACATAATAGGTAATCGCTTTGCTTTGGCTTCTGAAGAGGCATATTCACAGATTCCAAAATTTTTGTACTGTTACCTGCTTTGTCTTTTTACTTGGATAAAGTTGGATTAAAAATTTGATTTTATTATTTTAATTCTTTTTGTTGGCATTACTTATCATTGTCAGTAATCTCCGAGGCACGTCTGTAATTATTCCTATTTGGTTGATGCGTCGCTAATTGCCACGAAAAGAATAAACTTGTTGGTTGGAACGAATTATGGTTGCTGTTTTTTTTCAAAAACAAAAACTTTCATCTTGGAAACCAATTGGCATATCAAATGGCTTGATTTGTTTAATATGCGTCTGCAATTGTGTTTGATGCTGTAACTAGTGTCAAATGACAATATTTCGTGTACCGTGTCCTTTAGCTATATTTGACTTCTGGTCATTGTGGAAAGTGAGATTAAATATGAAATCATAGACATGGTAGGACAAAAACAGTTTCTCGTTAGCTCCTCTTGCATGATTCATATGTGTCCACTTGGTATAGAAAATTTATATATGGGAGTTGATAGTTCGATAATATTTTTCTATGATTTGTTTCATTTTATTTTATTTTATTTTGGTGAGTGTGTGGGTGCGGGGTTCCAAGATGAAGCAAAGGACATTTAAGGATCTTACGAGCAAACTGTTATCCTTTGTTCTCTTTATTTAGTTTAAAGCTTATGTTTTCATATGCTAAGCCAATCTCCATTAACTCTCTTATGCTAGCTGCATTCTAAATGCGTTTTTAACAATTCAGTGGACGACATAGTGTTCTTGCTCCGACGGAAATTGCCTTGTTTTTATTCGACTGATTTTGGGATAATGTAGGGAAGATCTTGATGCAATTAACTTTCAAATTTTGCAGAAAGTTGCTACTGTCCAGCAAACTGCGTGTTCTTGACTTTAAGTGCTCGATAGTCTACGAATTTTATTCGTGGTTCTCAATAAGGTGGCCATAATTTTATAAAAGTATGAACCTTTTTTTGACTCTCTCTTCCTTCCTGATCCCGCCCAACTAAGTGCTTGCCCTGCTCAGCAGTGGCCTTGGCAGGCTTTTCGGATAAAACTTTTGTGATGGCTTGTACTGGACAGCCGATCAATGTATAGTCTCCTTAATATATCAAAACTCTTGTTATTAAGTATTATGTTTTTTTATTACATCAGTGGGTCATGTATATGTGGTACTATTGTGGACAGGCACATGAAAAGATGCATCATGCTGTTCAAACAACCAATAAAGATACTCTGGGAATTCTGGAAGGAGGAAGTGATTTCTTACTTAGAAAACTTCGAAAGAAAAATAATTTCAAAAGCTCTTCAGAGGTCATATATGTTTCACATAACTAATATTTTTTTGCTATTTTTTCCCCTTGACTATAATATATATTTTTTGACTGGTTTCTGTGGATCAATATTTTTCTTCAGGTTCGTCTAGTTTCATCTTTCACTTGGAGAAATTCAGATAACAGGTAAATTGAATTTAGTTGTAAGATGCAGTTGACAGTGAAAGCTGAAATTTATACTTGTTTAAAATTTGATTGTCTTTAAGATTATGTATAGTCGGCAAAGAATTTTGTGTCTTGCCTTCTGCTGATACTTTTGCATATTATTCTAGGTAGAAACTCCTGATTGTATTTTGTACCGGATGCAGGATTTACGTACATTCAAACATTAATGTATTGCATATATGCAAGGATGAAAATGTCGATGTCGGTGGAAACATGAGTTGCTCAAATTTACAGATTGGTAAAAAAAAAAAAAAAAAAAAAAAAATTGATGGATATTACGTCTTTTTTTTCATCATAGACATTCTGTATGAAGTGCTCAATAATGAATAATAACTACTGGTGTTGCGTGTTCTCTCTCTCTCTTTTTTTTTAAGAAGCAGTATCAACTATCAAGTTATGATATATATGATATTTATGCTATACACTGTAATATAGCAAGATCCAATCACTAGTATTGACTAAAAAGTAATTACTAGGGTCGAGATGCGTGAATAAACTACGTTTTCTAACATTTTATGCGCCTATTAGAGAAATACATAATACGAAAAGTATAGCAAAAAACAACCAAATTGAGATTAATTCCTTTCCAATGAAATTATCTCGTATTGCCAACGATTTCTTACAGCTATAATATGCTTGAACTCTGTTCTTTAGTAGATAATATTCGTATGAATCTAAGGGGTAGATACTGCATAAGTTATATTTGTATGATAAATAGTTATAAACAAAGTGAGTTGTGCTAGTTTCTGGTTTGATTAAGGAATAATTAGGCACTTTTTTATTTTATTTATGGCTATGTCAAAAATTTTTGTAGATTTTGTTTGTAGTTACTGGGTGCTGCTAAGTAAATGTAGGACGCATTTATTAGAAGATTTTGGGTTACCTGTGAATCTTAACCACTTAATGACATTTTAAGTTTTTACTGATCTATGCTTTTCTGCCTTTGATCAGCCCATTTTCTTAGCTCAAAGCATTTAGTGCGGGGCTTGGTTGGTTAGCAGGCTTTTAGTCTAGTATTAGCCCACATGACGAAGGCAGTATTTCTTGTTTTGTAATTTTGTTTTATATAATATTTACCTTTTTCATAATTGAAACATTTTAGTTGTGTCTTAGGGTTTGATTATAAATAACTAACTTTCCTTTCCCTTCACAAGCATTCAAGTGCCGTAAGCCCCCAATCAAAGACCACCTGCTGCACACAACTGCAAGTTGTTTTCTTTCTTCACTTCTCTCTGTCTCTTCCTCTTTCTTTGTAGCACATTTTTCTATATGTATGTCTTTCAAATTTTTTATTCTATGAAGGAACTCTTCAATGGCTGAAACATTGCTGCTAATCAGTCTTATATGTGGCCAGTGATGACTTCTGCAAACCATCTGGATTAATTATATCTCAGCTGATACGTTTTTTTTAATAGTGCTGATTCTCCATTTTTGCATCTCGCTCATGTACACAAGAAAAGGCAAAATTGTAGATTAGCTTAAAATGAATGTGTTTGGACTGATGCATTGATATATGCTGTTTTGCATTTTTTGTCTGCATATGTGAATTTATGGTCGTTTCTCATTTTTCGTACCATAAAGTTAAGACTGAATTTGTGTTAGTTTTAGAGTTAATTCTTATGTGTATTGCTCCTAGCGTGTAATGACTGTATTGGAACATGGATCATTACCTTAGTTTTACTAGTGTGGTCTTATGTTGTTGTCAGAATGTCCTGCCTTGTTTATTTCTCCCGTTCAATTTTCCCCTTGGGAGATATTCCATGACCAGTTCCGTAAAAATGATCAAATAATCTGAGCTATTATATTTTTTATTTATTTTCTAATTTTTTAATTTAGTTGATTTTTCTTTTCATTTGCTTTCCTCCCGTTGGCAGAGGAGGGAAGTATTTGGGTTTGTGATTGACATTTATGCATGTGTTGTGTGATCTCACTCCTTTGAACGATAGATTTCCTTCACTATATGTTAGGAACCCAGAAATCTGTACTTCATTAACAACACTAAAAATGGAAAATTACAGGATGGATGGGCGGTTTCAAGGACCCCCGACCTCCAAGATAGTGGACAGTACTAGACACTCTCTGCAAATCTCCTCCTCTCCCTCTCTAGCAACTAAACCGCCTATTTCTACTACTATTAAGACTATTGAAAAAGACTTTTAAATATTAGGTTCCTAACACTATATTTTGAAAGCAATGACTTGAAAGTGTTTAAAGCTTTGAGCTCTTCTAACGCCCATTGCATTCAAGTGAAATCTTAGACGTTTTTGAAGGATTTAGGTGCAAAGTGGCCTTTTGGGCCCAGTTGTTCTAGGTTTGGTTCTTAGGGACTTGGATAGACTTGAGTCTTCAGATTAAGTATTAGCAGCCTATGATTGGGCCTGACCCACGATCCTTTATTTTATTTCGAAATTTCCTTAGAAAATCAAAAGCTGTATGGGCTTAAGTTTAATGTTGCAATGATCCGAAGGGTCAATACTTCCAGAAATAACTGTTTTCAACTACTTTTACAGGTGTTTTACCATCTAGTAATATGGATATCTAAAGTGTGCGAGTGTTTTATTTGTCTTTCCTGCTTCCTCCTGCCAAATCTCCTTGCTTTTTCACACTTGTATCTCTCAATTTGGATAGGGAATGCCCCCTTTTATCTTTATTTTATATATATATTTTTTCAAATTAAGTCATCATTTTGTCTTGGCTTTTCAGGTATTCCGTGCTTACGGTCTTGACACTCGAACCAAACGGGCACTGGAGAATTGCTGCAGTCCCACTGCATTGTCCTGACTCAGAGTGCTTAGGATCTGGTGTGCAGGTTAGCATGGACTGTTTGCATTTGGTTTACCCTCGGCCAATTAATTCAGTCCGGGCTGATCGACAAAAAGTGACAAAAGGGCCTATGCGTGGTGGTAATCATCCTGCCAACTCACTTGCAAACAGAAGCTTACTTGGTTCGACTGTGCAACACCAAGCTCAGAATAAGACTTTGGCAAATGAAGCTAAATGCAGTGAAATTCCGCAGAATTTTGGGCAGAAATCCTTACCCGGCTGTGAATCTTCTCGCTCAATATTGAATAGCTCCAATGTCCTTAAATCAACAACAGTGTGTATCAATAATTCGAAAGTTGATAATGTCGATGTCGTAAAAAAACGATCAAAAAAGAAAAGTAAAGGGACTAGAAGAAAAAAGAAGCGTCCAGGTCAGACTGGCTCTACTGAACCAGAGGTGTTGTCTGCGGAACATCAGCGTGTTGGTGCAGTTATTGGAACTTGCCATAGTAATAATCAGGATAGTAAGGATGCACTAGTGCTATCTTCAACTCAAGTAGAATCTTCATGGCACAAAAATGGGGTTCACAACCCAGAAGTGCCCAAGACATGCACTTCTATTATTAAAGGGGTGGATATGTTGGAAAAAGCTGTTACTGAAAACCACTCTGTGGGTACATTTGAAAATCAACAACTATCCAAAGACTCTGCAGATTCTATTTTTGATGGAAGCAGAAATACAAATCGTACACAAGTCAGCAGTTATGATGATTTGCGTTCCAGAGATTGTAGTAATGTGTCTGGCTCCTTTTCAGTTTTAATTCATTCAAGCCGTGTTCAGAGTACCAAAGTTTGTCATGTTTCAAAACAGTCTGAAAAGGAAAGTTGTGGAACTGGTCTTACTGAAACACCAGCTTCTGATTTCAGAAAAGGATCTTTCTCTTGTAAAAGCTTGTCAAATAATGTTGTGGATAAAAGTCAGGGTGGTCAGTATAGAAGTAGCAGTGATGTTCATGTAACTGTACCTAGTAACAGGAATGAGCAAAACAAACAATTTTCCCAGTTTTCAAGTATCCCCAGATTTAGAAGCACTGGAAACTTTCATGGCCGTCCAGGGAAGGGAGGCAGCCATACTGTTTGGCAGAAGGTTCAGAAAAAGGGTACCCGTGATTGCACCGGCGACTCGACGAAGGTTCCAGTCTTCCCGCAGTGTAATGGCACTTTGGAGGAGGCTTCTTTTCTTAAGAGATCGTTTGATGCTTCTGAAAATGAAAAGCAGTTAAAATATGGTGTCTCTAGAAAGTTGAAAAGTAAAGGTGATACAGCTTTAAGACATGAATGCAAGCTTAATACTATAAAGGGACCTCATGCTGACACGGTCAACTCACATGGTTGTCCAAAGGTTACATGTCCTGATGAAATGGATACCCTTGAAAGTGTCTGTAATACCAACTCTATCCTGAAGAATCAGGTCACATATGATCTCAATCACCCATTTCCAAAGTCATGTAACTCCTCAGATCACTCGAGAGCAGTTCAGGTGCAGTCTCTAATGTTCCTTCCTCATCCTTTTGGGAATTCAGTTAGACAAAGGCAGGAAAATATCCCTGTTTCAGAAGGTATGCAAAACTGCAGTTCTGGATATATTATGCAGAAATGGGTCCCAATTGGGTTAAAGGATCTTGGATTGACAAATTCTGCTGGCGGTTTATCAGAACATTCTGATAGTCGAGCTGCTGAAAGTTTGACTGCAGTGAACACTGTAAAAAGTAAATCAAATTTTAATTCTCCAGAGTTTGTTCCACAAGGAGTATTGTGTATTGGTAAGAGTTCTGCAAATGTAACCCATTCCTCCCATGATGATGAGCTCAGGACTCCAGAATTGAAGAATCAGGGTGCAAGCGTCCTTGAAGAGCAGAACAATCATACTGCAGCTCACTGTTTAAATACAGAATCTGGAGTTTTGAGCACATCCGGATCTGTTCCAGACAGGATTGTCGGAGCTGTAATTGATGCTTGTAGGGTTCAACTTGCATCTGAAACTGTTGAGCGGGCCTCCGGTCACCCAATTGCTGAGTTTGAAAGGCTTCTTCATAATTCATGTCCAGTTATTCACCAACCGCCCCATTTAGTCTGCCACACTTGCTCTAGGGACCAGTTTGGTGGTCTCTCATTATGCAGACATGAGAGACCTAATATTTCTTTAGGTTCTGTATGGCAGTGGTATGAGGAACATAGCAACTATGGGTTGGAAATAAGGGCACATGATTATGGAAGTACGAAGAGATTCTCTTCATTTTTTGCTTATTTTGTCCCTTATTTGTCGGCAGTTCAGCTTTTCAGGAACCACAATAAGCATTCTGGAGACACAGAGAATAAGATTTCTAGTTCTGAGGTGCCAGTGACCTGCGGGTATAGTGAAACATCTGAAAGATCCTCCTGTGTGGACCATCTCCCGATATTTTCAGCACTGTTTCCTCAACCTCAAGTGGAGTGTCCAAGCGTTCCACCTCATGTAAATCAAGTGTGCAGTCGAGAACCATCTTCATCTTCTGCTAAAGATGTTGCTACTCTTGGATCAGTTGAAATCACATTGTCGAGTGATGCTGAGTTGCTTTTTGAGTATTTTGAATCCGAACAACCTCAGCAGAGACGACCTTTATACGAGAAGTAAGTCCTTTTTGTATCAAATATTGTTAAAAGTTATATTGTAAATTTTCATAAACTTAACATTATATTACGTTTTGATCTTTTCCATTCTGTTTCTCCGTCAGTGTTTCTGATGCCCTATCACCCTATGTTCTTACTATCCATATTCATCCTGTTAAAATGCATGCTTAAATCTTTTGGAGGATTATTCAAATGATTTTACTCTTTAGTCACTGCTCCTAGGATAAGTTTTGAAGAGAATACACACAAAATAAACACATTAATTTCTTCGTTGAACAAAAGAATAATCAATCACTTCGTATATAATCCCTTATCCATAAGGAATGTGAGAGCTGATTTTTGTTGTTGTTCTTGTTGTTTTCATTTTCGTTTTTGTTTTTGTTTTTCTCTTTGTTTTTCTATTTTTTTTTATTGGGGAATTTGTTGAAAGTTGAAACCTTTTACTTGACATGCCTTTTCAGTGTGATTACATATTTTGTGATCTATTTGTACCAGGATAAAGGAATTGGTTGGACGTGATGGACCTTCACAGTACCGAGGTTATGGGGACCCAACAACTCTGAACTTCACTACACTAAATGATCTGCATCCTAAATCCTGGTTGGTAGAAAACTGCTTAACCTTTTTACCTAGAATAATTTCAACTTGACGATGTAAAAATGGTATTTTCTTGGGTCTCAAGGCATCTATTCATTGTAAGTTCAATCTTTAGATAGTAACTCTTGATAACATATTGTTTCAGGTATTCCGTGGCATGGTATCCTATTTATAGGATTCCAGAGGATAATTTCCGTGCATCATTTTTGACTTTCCATTCACTTGGTCATCTGATGCGTAGAAGTGCCAGAATTAATTCACAAACAGTGGAGAATTGTATAGTATGTCCTGTGGTGGGCCTGCAAAGTTACAACGCTCAGGTATTTTGGCTCTACTCTTTCTCTATGTGAAGTCAAATATTTTGAGTATATCCCATTTTCTTTTTCGTTGCTCTCTCATATCACTATAGAAAAGCTTATGCATTTTACCAATAAAAAATTCTGCTATGATATGCGCATTAGAGTCTCCAACGTTATATGGACATCAATTAATTGAATAACCTAAGTCAGTCCTAGTAAATTCGTATAGGTAGCACGTACCTTTTGTAACTGAAACGGAATAAATAGTTTAGAGTTCTCCTTATTTAAGTTCTCTGCCTGTCATTTGAACAAGGAGAGTGAAGGTGTTGTGAGTAATTTCCTTACATTAGTGGAACCTAATCTGTTTTTTCCCTATCTTTTCTCTATTTTTTCCTCTTTATCTTTTTTTTTTTGGGGTAAAAAAAGGGACATCCTGTCTTCCTTGCATTGTACATCACGCTTCTTTTTTATTAGTGAAGTATTTACATTGAGTGCTTAAAATTGTTTTTATTCAACCTGATCCAAATTCCTTTGCAAGGTTATCCAGTTTTTACCACATCTATGAGAATGCTTCTTGTTTAAGAATTGCAGAAAAATATGTTTTGGCCATAATTGATTTACTAATAGGTTTTGGACCAGCTTATTACTTGTTAATGGTTTCTTCTGTGTTTTCCCCCGGGGGTGAAAATCTATGAGAATGCTTCTTGTTAAGAATTGCAGAAAGATATGTTTTGGCCATAGTCTCAAACGTGGTTTGTTGTTAAGCTTCTGTCTGTTATTTAGGTTAATGTTTTCTTGGAAAGTCATACGGGATTTAGCATTCTAGTCTTCAATGTCAGAATTTGATTTTATTGAGATTATTGGTTCCTTGGCATTTCTTTTCTTGTGATAAGTTAAAGTTTCTTGGTGTTGTATTCGTTGTCTAATATTACTTGCATTAAGTTTCCTTCATACTATTCTTGTCATAATTTGATTGAGATTTTGATATTTGGTTTGAGTTATATGCAAGTAGATTTCTAGCAAATGTGTTTTTATTTTTTGGGTTGAACTTGAGATTGAACATCCAGATTAATAAACAATTTGACTTAAATGTTTTGCTCCCCCTTGGATGTTCTTTCTATCTCTTTTTGTGCGATAGATCTCTTATCCGTTATGGGCATGATTGTTTGACTGTATTAGAACACCGTATTGTATAATAATATTATTATACAATGTTTGGTGTGACCATCGTATTGTATAAGTTAAATACATATGGTAAATTAATACGGTCTATGTTGTACTATTGAATGCGGCTGTATTGTATCATTTTATAGCGAATCCATGATTCATGTCGGGGTTAGGCACGACTAGAGGTCGGGGTCGGGCCGACATAAAGTCATTTCGGAGCCTATAATTGTTTAAAAATTGAGGGGTGCACTGTAAATTTGTATTTTCTAAAAATTACATTGACTCCAAAATTTTTATAAAATTACGTTTTGACCCTAAAACTTTTTAGAAAATTACATTTTAACCCTAAAATTATTTGAAAATTACATCTTAACCCCTAAATTTAAAAAAATTGCATTTAAACCCCTTATACAATACGTCATGATACCATAACACCGTATTGTATTATGACAACACAACACAATACAATACACCTTATACAATACAATACAAGGTACCAAACATGGCCTATATGTATCTTAAAGGAATAAGAGGGAAGTTTATAGCTTGTTTGTTATAAGTTTATGCGTTTGTTAGTAATAAAGAGATAGAAGTTAGTTGCGAGTATATTATCAACTTTTGCTGAGTGAGTTAGAGTGTTGGTTGTTTTAGTGAATAAAAGGAGAGATCGGGATAGGCAGGCAGAATAAAAGGAGAGATCGGGATAGGCAGGCACTGTTTTCGGTAACAATAACTTGGAGAATCCAAGTTGGGACGGGAGCAGGCCCTTTGAGATCTGCTAGGTTGTGTTCCATCTTGTAACTTCGCCTTAGATCTCAATCTCTCACAATAAAGATGAATATTCAGCACAATTCTGTATTGATTTCATTCTCTTCTCTGCTAAAATTCCCTAGGTTGTCATTGTATTTCTAGATCTATGCTTAATTGCCTATTCATATACGTATTATTATTTCCTCATTCTGTAGAGACGCATTCTCTTTTGCTTTATAGCCAGATCACACCTCGAAAACTTCAATAACCTTTTTGGATTTGGTAATGTATTAATTTCCCATTAGCAAAAGTAAGCCTCAAGCAGCCATGGGATTTCAGCACAAATGGCCCTTTTTGAACGATTTTTTCATATATGGCTGAAGTTTTGTAAAATTACAAAAATGGCTGTTTTTATTAACTTATTGGTCAATCACTGATTGACTTAGCAGTCCATCACTGATTGACTTAGCAGTCCATCACTGATTAACTCGATGATTTTTCATTATTAATCAATATCAGTTTATAATTAACCAAAATCAATTAGTAATATCAATTTCAATCAACAAATTATAAGCTTATTAATTTCAATCACTGTATATATGAAAAAGTATATCTAAAGAGGCCGGTCATTTATGAAAAAAGTGGTCAAAAAAAAGGTCATTTACCTAATTTTTCCTAATTAGAATAGGTGTTTTATCTCTATTAGCTGATGAAAGAGTAAACACTTGGCATTATTTTTTGCATGAAATTATTCCTGTTACAGCATTCTGAATCTTAATGCACTCTGTGCACTGCATGAACAGAGTGAATGCTGGTTTAAGCTGCGCCATTCACCTTCGAACCCGACAAAAGGAGCCTCGGATCTAAATGCTAGCGGAATTCTGAAAGACCGTTTGAAAACGCTAGAGGAGACGGCATCTCTTATGGCAAGAGCAGTTGTGAACAAAGGAAGTCTGCCATCAGCAAACAGGCACCCGGACTATGAGTTCTTCCGCTCTAGGAAGCGCTCGTGATATCTTAGATTCATCAATGCTATCTGAGCGGAGCAATAGTGATGAATCTTGTTTGTTTTTTCTTGTACATTTTTTTTTTTTTCCATTTACCATGGAATCTTGACTCCATGTATATAGACCTTTATGCAAATTAGGAAGTGCCTTGTAATTTTTTTCCTTAGGGAATTTGCAACATTCCGCATTCTCTGAATACTCGTTAATTTTAGCAGACCTTTGTTGATGTACATATGCATGCTAGGGTTTCAGTTTTGCGTTTTAACTTAGAAGCTCGTTGTGAATCCCTTGGGTGGGTGCGTATTTTGATTTTTTTTTTCTTCGTTTTTATTTTTGTAACCTCGTTGTGAGTTTTAAGATATATTGAGAAAAATCCATTGCTGCTTTCTGCCTTCTGCCCTGCCGGGTTATAGTCTCGTGAAGGTGTTCAATCATGTTCAAAATATGTGCACAGATTGAAGAATTATTCTTCATCTTCTTATTCATGAACGCCCTTGACAGTGTTCTGTTCAGAGGGTGCACCAAACATTGCATTCTAGGACTGCATTATCATAAGCGGATTCGTACTCATGCATCTTGTAAAGCACATCACTCATTCCTTGACCTTGTTATTTGTCTTAATCCAACGATTATAGGCTTCCTTGATTGCCTTAGTCGGGTTTGGCTCAGGTTTCTGAGGACATTCCTCCATCAGGACAAACTTGTAACCATCACATATATGTTTGTGTTACTTTTTCACTTGACATAGTTGTTACTGGTCAGTGTTTCATTTGCGAGTAGACTAATAATTGGATTAGTCATATTGTTGGAAATAAATAGAATTTCATTTTAATAAATATGTGCTTGAATATCATTCAACAAGAATATTTAAGCAAAATTAAATATGATGAATGATGAATATGAAAAATACATAAAATCATGTTTTAATTTCAATGCCAACGCTAGTCCAATTTACTATAAATATAGTGCTACCTTTAGGTACTCACGATATTTGTAAATTGAACCGAGAAACTCTCAATTAATAAGGTTATCAAAATATCTCATATTTTAAAGCATTGTTAACTAATGTTAATTTTTGTCAAGATATAATTAACCAGTTTAATTATATCTTCATGAGTGTAACCTACCGTTTTGGATCTTACAAACTTAACTCTAGATAGCTACCTTTGATTAGTCAATTCAGAAATACATTTTGAAATCCTATCACTAAAAAACTAACCTTAGTATTGATCCAACAAGAACACTCCTTTAGGAGGGTGAATCTATGTCGCCGCAAAGTCCATCTCTAGATCTCACGGTTTTGTACTAACTATGGAGACCAGTGGGTCGTGTTGTCACACAACCCTCTCCGACTCTATATTTTACAAATTATGTACTTTATTTTGTAAAACATCTCATGTTTACAAATTCTAATAAAATAAACAATTTAGTTTACCAAATATGTGAAATTTTAGCTCAAAATCAATTCCACATTATTACATTATTTTTGCAAATCCTAATTTCCTACAAAATCAATTTAAACTAATTAATTCAATTTTATTTAATTTATAAAACGCTTTGATCAAATAAATAATTAAATTATGCACGTGTATACATGACATGTGATAGACATATGAGTAGGCACCCCTAAGTAAATATGCATTTTATATGCATGGACATAAATTATTTAAGCATCAAATAAATAATATATAAAATATGCAATCGACTATTGAGATGGATTTTGACCAGGTCCCAATCGAATGAATGAACAAATAAATAATTTACAACCCAATCAAATTATCAAATAATTACAATAGTAGTTTTCATCTGTTACATCAACGGGTATTGAATTTAATTCTTCTGTTCTTCAAAATTCAACATCTTCTTTCAAGCAAAATAAAAAATAAAACATCACCATCTTCAGTTTGGGTACCTTCGAATTTGTTTTGGAACAATTCCAGAAAATAAAATCAAAATTTTTATTCATTTTAGGGTTCGAAACCCCCGGGCCATTTAGCCCTCTTTCTATGTAGGAAGGGAGGCCCAGTCGCTCATCAGGTTTTATTTACACGGCGTGCGCCAGCACATCAAAAGGCGTGTTGGTTGCCCTAGGCTCGCGATAGCAGGTGTCCCGGCCCTGGGGCCGTCGCGCGTAGCTTGCGCGCCCTCTGCTGGCACCTGGATTCCACCTCATGAAAGAACGGATTCTATCTCGTAATATTAATATTATTTGCTACCTACTTCATCATGTCTCCAAGATACGAAGAATAAAATTTAATAATCTCAAAATCTATACTAAGTCAAAAGACACGAATCTATATATAAGAGTTTACTAATAACTCATGATTAAGATCATTCTATATATGACTATCGGTAGACTTAATTAGAATTTTTATACTTAACAGAAATTATCAAAAATTCACTGACAGTAGACTCAATTAAAATTTTTATACTTAACGAAAATTATCAAAAATTTATATTATCTTATCTCAATCGTACATAATCTTATTATTTAAAATACACGCATCTAATATTTCTCCATTTCAACCATGCGGATAAACTCATTCAATTCTTAATGAAAATTACGTGTATAAATAATGTTTTAACAGCAATACTTCGACTTTAGAAACTGTAGTCGTCGCCATCTTTAGTGACGACTTTTTGACTATTAGCGACATGTGTCGTCGCTAAAAGCCACCTAATTATAACTTCCCAGCCGCGACATTCTTCACCATTTCTCTGATATCTCTCTCTTTACGCCTACTCTCTGTATCTCTACCCTCTCCCTATCACTCCTTTGCGCCGCCACCCATCCCGTCGTCGTCGGCCACCCCCTTCTCTCTTCCTCTCCAGTTACATCTCTCTTTCTACCGAAATCGGTCCCAAGTCTCTCTTTCTTTACTTCCCTGCTGCCCTACCGCCGGCTCCCCACCATGTTGCCGTCGCCGCTGCCGACCCCTCTTCCTCTTCTTCTCTGCTTATCCCTACTTCTACCACTCTCTCTCCCTCTCTTTCTCTCTCTTTATCTCTCAGTTTACCCAAACCTTTCACACTCTATCTCTCTATCTCTCTCTCTCGTCCCTGCCGCCCCGCCATCGCTCGCCACTGGCCGCCGCATTCCTCGAGAAGAATTCTCATAGTCCGCCGCCATGTAATCACCCCAGTTTTGTGGTGATTGAATGTGAGTTTAATTTGTGTTTAATTTTGATATTTTTTTTGTTTTAAATTTGATTTTGTTTAGATATAATTAGTTGTTAATTTGAGTTTTGGGATTTATATATGTTTTATAATGTGGGTCTTGTTATTTAGATTGTTTATTGTTAATTAATTGCAAAAAGTGTTAAAAATATTGAATGTGTTTGAGATTAGGTTAGTTTTGAATATGTTGAAAAAAATAGGTTTAGGTTTTATTTGTTATGTTAGTGGAAATTATGGTAAGTTTTGAATATGCTTGAATTTAGGTTTGGGTGATTTATGTTTTTGTTGGTGTTAAATGTTAAACATGTTGATCATGTGCATTGATGAAATATGGTTTTTTTTATTTTTTATTTTTTTATATTTTTTTTATCTATTGAGAATATGTTCATTTTGTTAGGTATAGGTTGTTAGTGAATATGTGGATGATGATATATTAGTGAATCGTGATTTTATTTTAATTTGTACAAATATGTTTGTTATATGAGGTGTATTGTTGTTAATAAGTAAGTTGAGTATAAATTGAAATTAATTAGTAATGTTATTGGTTAAATAATACTAAGAAATAAAACCTATAATATGGACAACTTATAAATAAATATTAAAAAATATTTAAAAGAATAATATACTAATGCAATACAATTTTAACATTTAATAACTTATGTAAATAACAATTAGAAAATTTAATAATTGAAAACAAATTTAACATTGAACACTTTAATTAAATTATTTGTTATTAATTTAATAATTTGGACTAGTGGGATTGTTGCAAGTAATAGTAGTGATTAAATAATTTAATAATTTAGAGTAAATTGATTATGTAAATATTTAATAGCATAAAATAAATAATAATTTGATTGGTATAAAGATGTTAATAATTAGTAATTATTTACTAACACTTAAACAATAATAGGAATTATCAATTATCTATTAATTCACAACAACAAAAAAGTTAAAAGAATTAAAAATTTATAATAATTTGATAAATTTAATAAGATTAAATAACACTCTTTAAAACTTAATAAAATTAGATAACGGTTATGAAAATGCGTTAAAGCTATTTATTATTTTGTTCTTAGACTGCCTAAGTACACATTTCAGAGAGAGAATAGTTATTTGTGTACTTTATGCAAATTCTAGAGCACTCAACGTTCATCGATTCGAATTTAGAATTCGAGTTTTACTACAGTAAAAAGTTTTCAGAAACAGTCACATATAATTTTTTTGTTACAGTAAAAAACTCTCAAATAAAGTCACATCTCAACTCGAATCAGCGAACTAAACAGGCTCTTAGGGTACAAATTGCTTAGTTGTGCTCATACACGTAACTGTTTGTATAAACGAGAATAAATGATTAGTTAGTTATGACTCTTCTAAAGTTACGTCAGCAGTGCTAATTTTATTTTTCTCAAGATAATAAATTATTAGATATAATTATTATTCGCAATAACATGAGTTGGTATCTCGGAAAATAATGAATTTTTTTCTTAAATTCAACTATGCCACCTGATGTTTTTTTTTTTTTCCTAACAAACTTCAAGCATTGCAAACTCTTGGTTGCTGCATATCTTGGGCTTGTTCTACTCGATGTGATATAAAATCTGACCCCAACAACTTTTAAAATGAAACTACTTATATTTTATGTATATGTATATGTCAATCTCACAAAAACATGTATATTTTATGTGTATGTATATGTCATAACATCTTTTTCTCTCTACATATGTGTATTTGTATATCTTCAACTACTTTTTGGAGAACCTAATTGCTTTTTCATTATTAATTAATTGCATCCAATCAATTGATCATGGGACACACTAACTGGCTTTAGTCCTACTTAAATAATTAACTAATTGTCTCGATTATTTTTTTTACGAAACCTTTTTTAATAGATCATCTGTGGTTAATGTGCAATATAGTATTTTGAAAATAATATTACACTACATCAAATCACAAAAAAAATCTTGTGGTAAATGAGTCTCTAAACAATATAAATCATAGTACTTAGAACTCAAATTATGTATACATCTGATTAAGGAAAAAATAAAAGGAAAAGAAAAACGAAGAAATCCTCAGCATACGTGGTAATAATGGTTAGAGATAAAAAGTCTTCCTTTTACTTACTGGCCTTGATCTTGGTCTTCTTCATCTTTTATCAACAATCAGGTAAGTTTTATGAGCGAATCGCATTAATAACATTTAAATAAATTG